ATAGTACTATACACTGTCTGGTTATGTGGAGAGCAAAAAGAAAGTTCTTAAATAAAAGTGAAAAGCTTGACAAGATGGCCATTTGCAAGTGAGCAAGTAACATCATACTCATTCTGGTAACTTGAAAAAACTTTTCCTCTCTTAATTAAGCAAATACCGCACAGCATATTTTCACTGACACCAACCATACACAGAATGCTTTCTATCTTAAATCAAAATGAATTTATGGTTTTCACAAAGCAACAGTTTCCAACAATAAGGACAGTCTCAAACAAGAAGGATTCTTACTTTGCTGCCAAAACATGAGCCTTTCTAATGTAGACAAAGTTCTAAATTATTATCAGTTACAAAGTCAGAATACAAGTCAGTTATCTCTTAGGATCCTTAAGATCCTTCCAAATAAATGTCCATAGGGACAAGTCTCCTCCTTGATATTTTGCAGAGATGGAAAATAATGGCAGACCTAGTTTAAGCGAGTTCTTCTACTGCCAGCAAAACTACAAAAAGGCCTGGTTTCCACACTTGTGTATTTCTTCCTTACAATCTCACCATACATTATAGTAACACCACTACACATACCTCTTATTTTCTCCAGTTCTCACCCCTACCCCCTCAACAATTTCCCCCACTGGCTCTATCAACTTACAATTGTGATTTAAAAACAGGCAGTCATAACTGTGAGAACAGTCATTTTCTGGCACAAAGAACAAGTAACTTGAGCTCACCATAGTTTGTCATTCCCCCTAATTTTGAATGATCTGTACCACTCCCTACTCTTGAAAAGTATGTGTTGTGTTTGTCAAAAAAATAAAGAGACCCTTAAGTTCCTACATATAGTTTGAGGTTCCTAGTATAAAGTATTGCTTCGAATCAAGGAGAAGGAGAAAGAGGGGGGAAACAGAGAACTTACTGCTGGTTTATCCGTTCCTACAATGCTGGCTCTCCAATATGACTGCAAGACTTCAGGTCTCTACAGTAGCAACCTTCAATCAAACTTTCAGTGGTAAATAAGACTTTCATTCTCACTAGTTCTCACCACGCTGGGTATTTCACTTTTATAGTCTGCTGATTTAAGCACAGATGCACTTATTCCATAAAATTAACTTGAGAAAATCTAATGTTAAGCCCATCGGCGAGGCAACAGCAGCAGCAGCGACTGAGGTAAGTCAGAGGGCGAGTATTAAATCAAGCTGTACAGGGGGGTTCCCGAGCTCAGGGACTCCCAAGCAACAACCCAGAGCTCCGTCTGGACAGGGAAGCCCTCACGAACTAATCAGGCCAGGGATGAACAGAGAGCAGCCCTGCCGAGAAGGACTCGGGGTGCTGGTGTGTGAGAGGCTGGCAATGTGCACTTGCAGCCCAGAAAGCCAGTTGTATCCTGGGCTGCATCAAAGCAGGGTGGCCAGCAGGGAAAGGGAGGGGATTCTGTCCCTCTACTCTGCTCTGGTGAGATCCCACCTGGAACATTCTCGGGTCCAGCTCTGGGGTCCTCAGCACAGGAAGGACATCGACCTGTTGGACTGAGTCCACAGGAGAGCCACGAAGATGATCAGAGGGCTGGAGCACCTCTGCTGTGAGGAAAGGCTGAGAGAATTGGGATTGTTCAGCCTGGAGAAGAAAAGGTTTCAGGGTGACCTAACTGCAGCCTTCCAGTACCTGAATGGAGCCTACATGAGAGCTGGAGAGGGACTTTTTACAAGGGTGTGTATTGACAGGACAAGGGGCAATGGATTCCAACTGAAAGAGAGCAGGTTTAGATTAGATATTAGGTGTGAGAGTGGTGAGGCACAAGAACAGGTTGCCCAGGAAAATTGTGGATGCCCCACCCCTGAAGTGTTCAAGGCCAAACTGGATGGGGCTCTGAGCAACTTGGTCTAATGGAAGACATCTCTGCTCATGGCAGGGGGGTTGGATCTAGACTATCTTTAAGCTCCCTTCCAACCCAAACCATTCGATTATTCTATGAATTTAGATAAAATCAGCAAGTTTTCCGTTGGCTTTTTAGAGCAATTATAGAACAAACATAGAACAAACTACTGTTTACAGTGTTTCTTCTTTTAGCAATGAAACTGTGTTACATATCACAATGGAAAAGATTGCTTTGAACACAGAATAACCTCTTTCTTTTTTCCCTTTTATTGCATATATGACTTCCACATACTAGCTACACTTGCAGTCAACAACAAGAAGTAAACAGCAAGCTTGCATTTTAAAAAGGGAGGTGCAAGGAATACTATAAGTTTACTTCAAGACAGAGCTTCAAAATAAGTCTTGTATAAACTAAAAGACATGGGCAGCTTAAGCCTGGCTTTTAACCTATTACAATCAAACTGCCCTGAGCAGGTTTTCCTCTACATTTCCTTTAAACATGACAGCACACCTAACTTGGCAAATCAGAGAAGTTCCAACTATCTTTAAGCATCTTCACTAGCAATGAAAAAAAGAGACCAGAGTTTAGATTAATAAACTCTCAGGAATGCTGACAGTCTTAAATCCACTACACCTCCAAACACCATTATCAGTACAGGCTTCCACTTGGTAATTCTAATTCCACACATGTGCCAAAGGGAGAAAATGTTTCTTTTATAACATACAAGATGTCCTTACACTTTCTTGTAAGCTGGTATCATATCTTAAGACAGTAGCTGAAGAGTGAAATGTTATCAACATGCACTGCTTTTCAAAACACCATGTCCACATCAACATCACAGGTAGTACCTAGCTTAGAGCTTTCAATGCAAACGCTCCTACTTCTTCTAACAGTGTTTCCCAGAGAGTTCAGGAATTTAATCTGGAATTACTTCAGTCCTGGGAGATCATTACTTGACAAAAGCTAGAAAGGCCACAACACCTACATTAAACAGCCACATGTAAAAAAAGAAATTCAAGCTATTAAAGCAAGTGTAGAATAGTCCTTGATGGAAAAACTTACCCGTATCTCAAATACAAAGCTTTGAGATGACGTCCTCTAAATCATTTAAGTAGACAGGAGAAGTAAGAGCAGGACAGCTGCAGCGACCAAAAGCTGTACTTTACAGTCTCTTAGTAGCAGAAATCTTTCCTAGCACGGTAATTAATTTCTGTCATTCTAGGCATTAGTATTAGGCTAGGATAATTACAAACTCTAAGTCGACTTCATTACAACATTTACAAGTGCTAAGTCTTGATTTTCTATGTGACAGCAGAGTAACAAGATCAAGCAGGCCAGATCAGCCCACAGAGAGAAATCAAAATAGATTTTCCTCAAGAAGTGGTTTATGAAATGTTATATTTCCAAGCTCTCTATCACAGTACACCTATGCATCTCTAGAAAATTGCCTGACCCTCTTCTAATGCATCCTACATGTTTTCACCAAGTACCTTTGGTTCTGCACAGGTTCTGTACTCTCTTAAATATTCTCAAATTACCAACAAATACAACTTAAAAAGAAACAGAAAGGCTACTGATTTCTGTTTCTATTCACCTTTGTAACCAAACAAAGAATTTTATGAATTGCAGAGCACCTTTATGAGGTACATGATGAGTATTGCAGTTGAGATTCTCACCTGACTTGCCACTAAAAGAACAAAGATAAAGATTCACAAGTATCCTACACAACAATAATCAATAATAATTTTTAAAAAGCACATTACATAGTACTAAAAAGACTCAAAACAACATATTTAGCATATACCTAATTTATGCTAAATTTATGTATAAAGAAGGCCAATCTACATTGGAAGAAACATATATGGGATGCTCCTTAAACATAAAGGCTCACTCAACTTTTTTTTTTTTTAACTCAAAGCTTTTCATCCACAAACTTAACTCTTCAGCGAAATGCATGAAGACAGTTACACAGCATTATTTTGCAAAATGCCAAAAAAAAAATATTTTCAGCAAGTTCCAAACCATATACAGGTAATAAAACAGAATTTCTTTAACTGGTTTCTCAGAGGCATGCATTTCATACAGAAAGCATGAAAGGGCTAAACTGATTTGACAGAAAGCATGGACAGACTAACAGTTTTGTAACAATAAAAAAAAAAAAAAAAAAAAAAGAAAATGTGAACATACAAAGTAACAAAAGAACACCTAAGTACGTCATAACTCATAATAATCAAACCTCCTGTGAGCCTTACTAACTTTGGGACATGCTAAACTTTCCACACAGGACACCAAAGTAATAATCAACACTTTCAGACTAAAAGTGACCAACTTAAAAGGCCAAATGTGACAACACCACAACTCACTAGAACTCAGTGGCTTAGAAAACTATCAGAACTTTTTAATATCAAATACATAATATATGTACATATGTCCTTACACCTTAAAACAATCCAAAGCACTAGTATTCTACATTTTACCTGCAAGTACCAATTCCTTCCCTATCTCTCACGACTTCAAATCCCAGACACACAGCACTGGATCCACATACCTGCACGGCTGAGGTCGCACACCCAAGGGACGCGTCCCCCTCTGTTCTCCAGCTCACTGGAAACGCCATCCACACTCCCCCCTCGGAGACCCTTTCTCCCTAAGCCATAGGCTTTCTGGAGCCTTGCCCAGATCCCACACACAACAGGCAACTCCTCCCGAGGGTAGGAAGGTGTGTGGGGGGGGTGTCGGGGTTTCCTTTCCCCCAGCAGCCAAGAGCCACCTTCCCCCGGTGCGGGACAGGGACAGGCGCTCCCGCGGCCCGCAGGGCGCTCCCTGACGCGTGAACCCCACAGAACCCCGACCCCGCCTGTGACCGGCCCCCGCCCGCCCCGAAAGTTCGAGCGCAGCCCCCCCCCAGCCCCCGGCCCGCTCCTCCGCAGCCCCCCACGCCCTCGGGGCGGAGAAGACCCTCGTCCCGCACCCCCCCCGCCCCTCCCGTACCCCGCGGCCCCCACCGCAAATACCCCGCGGAGGGCGGGGGATCGGCGGGCCCGCCCCGCCCCCGAGCCCCTCAGCTGCCCTCCAGCCCCTCGGCGGGGCAAGGCTGGGACCCCCGCGCACCCCCCGGCCCTGCACTGACCTGACGGGGGGGGGCGCGGCCGCCGCTCGGGGCTACAGCGGGGGCTCCCCCCGCCGCCGCCGACCCTCCGCTCCCCGGCCCGTCCTCCCCCGGGCGCCACCGTAGAGCAGAGAGCAGACGGGTCGGAAGCGCGAGGCGGAGGGGGAGCACCGGTCCCTCTTCCCCTTCCCAGGAAAATTAAAAGGAAAAAAAAAAAGGGGGGGGGAATTAAAGGGCTCGGCCCGGAGTTTAAAACAAAGAGGCGGAAATAGCCGAGCGCGGCCCGACCGGAGCCGAGCGGGGGCGCCGCGCTCGCGGCGCATGCGCGAGGGGCACTCACCCGGGAGCGGCGCCGGCCGCCCCCTCCTCCCTCCCCCGGGGAGAGGGGCCGGGAAAGGGGGTCCTGGAGCCCCGGGAAAGGGGGTCCTGGAGCCCCCGCCGGGCCGGGCCCCGAGCGCGTGACCTCGGCGTGGAGTCGCGGGCTGCTCTGAGCTGCAAGGGACGCGCAGGCATCATCGAGTGCGGCTCTTACCCCTGCTCAGGACCATCCCCAAGAGTCGCACCATGTGCCTGAGAGCATTGACCAAGCGCTTCTTGAACTCTGTCAGGCTTGGTGCGGGGACCACTTCCCTAGGGAGCCCTTTCCGGTGCACAGCCACCCTCTGGGGGAAGAACCTTTTTCTAATATCATAGAATCATAGAATCAGTTGGGTTGGAAGGGACCTCCGAGATCATCAAGTCCAACCTTTGGTCCACTACCGCTGTGGTTATTAGACCATGGCACTAAGTGCCACATCCAGTCTCTTTTTAAAAATCTCCAGGGATGGAGAATCCACTGCTTCCCTGGGCAGCCCATTCCGATGTCTGATCACCCTCTCTGTAAAGAAATTCTTTCTAATATCTAACCTAAACCTCCCTTGGCACAACTTGAGACCATGCCCTCTTGTCTTACTGATAGTTGCCTGGGAAAAGAGACCAACCCCCACCTGGCTACAACCTCCTGTCAGGGAGTTGTAGAGAGTGATGAGGTCTCCCCTGAGCCTCCTCCAGGCTGAACAGCCCCAGCTCCCTCAGCCTCTCCTCAGAGGACTTGTGCTTGAGTCCCTTCCCCAGCCTCGTTGCCCTCCTCTGGACCTGCTCCAGGACCTCAATGTCCTTCTTGAACTGAGGGGCCCAGAACTGGACACAGTACTCAAGGTGTGGCCTCACCAGCACTGAGTACAGGGAAATATATCCAGCTTAAACATCCTCCTGACTTCAGGCCATTCCCTTGGGTCCCGTCACTGGTGACCACAGAGCAGAGATCAGTGTCTGGCCCCCCTCGTGAGGAAGTTCTAGACTGCAATGAGGTTTCCCCTCAGTGTCCTCCAGGCTGAACAGACCAAGAGACCTCAGCTGCTCCTCATACGGCTTCCCTCAAGGCCCTTCATCTCCTTTGGATACTCTCTAGTAGCTTAATATGTTTCCTGTCATGGCTAGGCTTTGCAAATGAAGACTTGGGAAGGGCTCTACCACATTTGTTACAGGTGTGCTGGTGGCTAAAAGGGCCAATACGAGATAGACAAGTTCAGTTGCAAAAGGCACAGCAGAAGGACTCCTTAAGTGGAATATTCTGCAAGGCACGATTCTTTCTGCGTTGTCTTTTCTCCTCAAGGGTGATCCTCCATGTGTTCTCAAAGGAAGCAGCAGCGTTCTAGAAGGTCTGTCTCCAGGCCTCCCGATTGGAGGCCAGAGTAGACCAGTTATGGTGATCAATATGGCCAAGGCTGAGATGTTGTTTCAGGGAGTCCTTGTATCTTCTCTTCGGGGCTTCTCTCTTGCAGCAGCCTATATTGTGGTGCTTAAAACTGCACACAATATTGAAGGTGAGGCCACACCAACAAAGAGCAGAGATAGTAAGACCCCAGGGTGCCTGGCCTTGAAAAATCAATCCAACTTGTGAGCAGGAGGGTGAGGTCAGCAAAGGTGGTTGGCTTTCCATCAGGATGTGGCTCTGCATTGTTCCTCTCTCTCTCAAGGTTTTCCTCAAAAGCTCACAGGTGTCAAACTGCGGGTGACTCAAAACACTTCCAACTGATGAAATGACAAAGATTCAGTCTTCCGAAGCCGCGGGGTCTTAGGTCAAGGAGTACGCACAAAGCTTGGGAAGCCCATACTAAGTTCAAGTTCACACCAAATAGCTGAATGCTAAACTTGTGAAGACAAGTACTTAAAATTTACCTGTCCAAACTCTTAAGACACTGAAGCAATCTTTACTTTGCCAATTATGCATATATTTTCCATATAATGCATTAAAATACCTATGTTTTTCTCTCTTCCTTTCTTCTCTGCCAACGAAGAACAAGCCACAAGGCAGTCTTCCACCTTGTCTAGAAATGCTACTGAAAATGGTCTGTCTGACCAACAATGGTCTGTCCTTGTCCGACAAACTACCAAGCCTTTATTGTGTACCAAGACTTCAGGGTCTGTGCTTTGCTCTAGGAGCAAAGCTTAGCTTAGCTTTCCAGAAGCTAAACCTGTGTTAATGGAAAATACGTTAGCACTGTAGATTTGCTTTCTTTCGCTTCGAGAGTTGTGTAGTCACACAGGTGCACCTTGTCTATCAGAAATATGAATTCTGTTTCCAGTTTAACCACAAATTACTTTGCATGGGCCTTTGCTTACAGACATATGTTAGAGAAAGTAGTGGGACCTCCTGCCTGACCTCTGGAATTGGGGTTCAAGCAGCCAGAAGCAAAAGTAATGAACTGTAAGAATAGGCATGAAATTATAAATTAAATGTCTGCTTTTTTTGCTTGCTTCTTTTGTTTTGTTCCTAGTGTTTTCAGACCAAGCACTCCAGATTGGGAAAACCATTAAGACCAGAGTCTATGGATGTTGGTTTTCCCTTACTATAGAACTTTTTTAGAAGTTGGCACCTGAAGCAAGATGATATAGCCATGCGTATTCAAACAGTTAATCTACTATAATATACCTCTAATGGCAAGACTGTTGTGACTCCTGGAGAGCTCAGGCAATGGTTTGGTCTCTTCTCAACCTCATTACCTAACATCACTTCTAGTGCCTTTGGCTATATCATTAAAGTGCATTTTAGCCTATAAGTGATGATTCTGAAATATAAGTTTAGCCAGTGACTCTAGTACCTAAGATCATACTAGTGTGCCTTTTCTGAGCTGCAACGCTTGATTTTAGAAGAGAAGTGAAACTTTTTATTTGAATGGCAGTTGTGAGCCGTGGTGAAGCTACAGAAGTTCAGAGAGTGACTCGAGGAGAACTAGGAACTGCATTTAAAGGATTCTTTCAATTAGCTTTACATACTTTAGTCTTTACAGTTTTCACCCAAATAAGAGCATAACATGAACACAGGTAAATTGAATCTCTAGCTTCTGGGAACATGTATTTCCTAGCTAAAACAGTTTGTGGAACAGAATCTATCTGAGACCTCTTGACAGGAAAAAAACCTCAAACATTTCAAGTAAAAGAAGTTTTTTGTCTCCTCTATGCCTTCTAACAGTGAAAAGGAATCGGTCAGCATGAGGGCATTAATGGTAATGGTATAAACAGGGAAATGGCTGGAAACTGAACCAGCATACTTTCATGAACAAAGCACAAAAGTAGCTCATAAAATTAATAAAGCACAAAGTAGGCAAACATATGACAAAATTATTCTAGTTTAAGACTAATTATAAGATGGTGTTTAAAAACAACTTTGAGAACTAATATTTCCAGTAGTTTCTTAGAGCAATGGAGTTATCTGTAGGTCTGTGGACCAGACTGTTTCCATCCGAGAGTGCTGAGAGAGCCTGTTGGCACCATTGCAAGGCTACTCCCCAGCTATTACCTTTTCAAGATCATGATGACCAGGGAACTCCCTAGAGAGTACTGGAGAGTACTCCAGTATTTCACCTGTCTTTGAAAAAATAGCAGGAAAGGTAATTCAGGGAACTACAGCTTCACTTTGATCCCTGAGAAAATCACGGAGTCATCCAAGATCTCATAGCTGTGCTCAAACATCTTGCAGCCTAAAACCAAAGAACCCAAACATTGACCAGCTTTTGTCTTCCACATAGATGTACCATAAACAAATATTTTGAGTACCCTGTTCTTATGGGAAGTGTCTGTAAGACTTGGACATTGTCAGAACATGCACAGAGCATGGATGAGTTTTGAAGGGATCTTTGGAGATCACCCAATACAGCCTCCCTGCTCAAAGGAGGATAAGGTAGAGCAGGCAGTGTTGCTTCTTTAGTTATCACCAGACCAAGCACTGTCATTCTTACATTGTAGGTTCTGCATGGACATCCTAATGACTGAATGATAATGTCATTCTTGCTCAGGAATCACTGGGAAACAATCTTCTGAATGTTAGTTTTACCAAAACTATATTCTGGCTTCAGAAATGTGGTTTATTAATCCTCTGATTTAAAAAAAAAAAAAAAAAGGACCTAGAGATCCTTTATAGGAGGAGCTATGACATGCCATCCCCAGTGGATACAGCTGTATAGGTGACAAGCCAATCAACCAGAGAAACTAAATCTGCAAGGGAAAATTTGGAGGTTCACTGCCCCACAAATTCAGACATTCTGAAAATTCAGACAATTAATCAGCATTTTGTTATAGGTGTACTTTAGCTTAAGCACAGTCCATAACAGTTTTTAACTCCATAGCTGTTATGCCACCTCCTTCATCTGTAAAATAGTAGGATATTTCTGTTTCTTTCAATAGTCTCTGGGTTTGGGGAGTTGATACTTTTCTCTCTGTTGTCCCTTCTATAGAATTGCTAAAGCATGCTCTCAATCTCTAGCTGAACAGTTTGATTCCTAAACTGATCTGCGGCATTGTTTTTTTTTTAGGATTGAAGGATACCATAAAACTCAGAGAGATTTAAACCCAAGAGATAGATATTTAACTATAACCTCAGTCATTCCAACCCACTTGAGCTCTTCAATATCCTCACAGTTACTTGGCTTTCAAGTTCCTCCATTTCCTATGGAAAAAAAAATTCTTTGTTTTCTCTCCCGTCTCAAAGTCAAATAAATCAGGTTCATTCTCTAGCCAAATCCACTCAACTATATAAGACATACAGATTCAGCAATCATTTGGAAAAGATGAAATAGCAAATACCAGACATTTAAGTGTCTCTAGGCTTACAAATATTCCCACTGCTAAGTAAAAGATTAATGCTTTTTCTGGAGCATATAACTATTAGCTAGTAATTAGAAATTTTTGGTTATGAATTTTTCCTCACCAGAAGACCTCTTATTTCTTCAAAGATGAGCCTTAGATAGAAAAGTGGAAATAGT